TTACTTAGATTAAAGCACAAACACAAAAATTATTCAAATCTATTTCGAATTTGCATATTTCTCTTTCTTTCTTTATCATTTGGAATTGAAATGATAAATAAGTTTATTATACCTGCCAACTTTTTCTGAGATATAAGCGTGAGATTTTTATCCTGGGAGTGCTGGGATTTTTAAAGACGACACGATCATTTCCGAAGATTCCCGAAGAAGTCCGAAGTCTTCCGAAGACGTCCGAAGTCTGCCGAAGGCGAAGTTATCAAAGTTATCCCAGTCCCAGTCTTAGGACGCGTATAAACGCGAGCTTGCTCCCAGTGCTTTTCACTTCAAAAATCAGAGATCGCGAGGAAGGTATTGTCATTTATTCATTTTACACATAGTTTTCGTTCCTTACATGGGTCTGAGTAAACATATTTTTGGAAATTGTGTCAGGCAAGACAGCAACAATTCACATTTTTCAATTAGGCGTGAGAAATTGGCCCGCAAGCGTGAGCCGGTGTGAGATCGAAGTTTTCAACCCGCAGGGGTGAGAGTTGGCAGGTATAGTTTATACACTCTTTAGTTCCCTCGAAAACCATACCCGATTCCAGACCAAAATGGGCAAAGTGTATGCCTGTTTTCAGGCCAAAATGGCCCAAAAACCCTACCCAATGGGGCAGCACATACCTATATGGCTTATGTGAGGGAGTACCCCCCCCCTGGATTTCTCTATGATGGCTCAAAGTGGGAATCAAAAGTTTTATTTAGTGTGTGTTCATCTTCATGGACTCTTATTTAAAATTCTCAAACACAACAATCTAGCAGACTTAAAATTTCCACAAGAGGGGTCTGGAAAAGCAGGAAACCAAAATCGCAAATAGAGACAGGAATAGGAACCAGAACCAAAATGTAAAAAGGAAAAGAAAAGGGTAAAGTGACAGGAAAGGAGTAAATAAAAATAAGCTTGACCCAGTTGTTTAAAAGGTGGATAGCAGTATCCACTGGACAAATCTCTATCGAGAGCCCAGATAATTAACAGTTAATGAATGAGGCTGAGTATCTTATGAAGAATTATGGAGATCGAGGAGGGTGTTATCCGTCGAGGCCGTAGGCCGAGGCGGATAACACCCTCCGAGATCTCCATAATTCTTCATATGATACGAAAGCCGAATTCAATAACTGTTTTATTATTCATTCAAAATAAGTCCTAGTTAAAAAACATGGCTAAAACATGCTTACCTCCATCGATCCATCGATGTTCAGTTCATCTTCGATAGTGTACGTTTAGGTTTGTCCAGCTCCGCAAATATTCTCCAAATAGCAGATGTCGCCCTCCGAGTTGTCTTCTTGCTGTTCTTGCCATGTTTTTAGCTATTTTTTCGCCTAGTTCTTACTCTTGAAACGAGTGAAATGTCCGCCATTTTTTCAAGTTCACAACCAAAACAACTCAACCTCGTCCCCAGGTCTTCTCGGTTAACGGTGCCTTAACCTGCGAAAACGCTGCACTTTTGACGTCATTTCCTCGTTAAAGTCAAAATTCTTCCAAATTTGGTCATCAGTAACTGGTTATGGTGAATTAAACGTGTGCTTTTAGCCAATCAGAATCGGGGAAATATTTTGAATGAATAATAATGCGATTTATTGGTTTCTCAACAATTTTTCTGCTGTATAGTGCTGTCCAACGTTTGAATAACCAGGGCCTGGAGTCCAGGCTGAGACTTGGGAATAGAACTAACAGTATCAAAACAACTTCATTCCAGATCAAGATGGGAGTTTCGAGCTATTTTCAAGTGATTTTAAGCAGGTCTTTGGTTAGCAACCTCTTCCCCAGGGTGCCTTTCCCTGGCTTGTTTCCACAGCAAGGGAAAAGCGCACTGTGGACGAGGTTGTTTGGTTAGTTTCTACCCAACCGAACTTTTTAACAATGTCAAAGGTTAAGCAGTAGAGCTACCTGTCACATATCATGTCAATCAATATTAAAAAACTTCGACACTTGATTTCGTGATCATCATCTCAGCTTACGAGTACTATAAAACCACCTCGTGTATAATAATTATATCTCTGTGTGTATGTACTACCACTACCGATTAATTTGAATAAATACTAGATTACTTAAATTCTGATGTGACTTAAGATATACTGTAAGTTGTAGATAATAAACCAGGTGGGAACAGTACTGCTGAGATAAATCGGGGAACTTGAAGGAGGAAGAAAGGAGTCATGAAGACAACAGACATGCCTTCTTACAATATAATTATATTAACATGTGAACAGTAAGCTCAGACATCATACAAAGGTGTCACTGGCAGCTGCTCTTAGTCCATTTAGGAGCTTTAATACTGTACCCACCCAACCCATGATGTGAATGACGTGTGAAAGTTAGCCTCACCACCGGGCTCTTTGTCCCTTACTCTTCTCCAACAGTGTGGGTTCTTTTACGTCCCACAAAAACCAGATAAGTGAAAGTGCTGTGAGACCAGACTTACAGTTTTTTGTCCTTATCCATGAGAAGACTGGAAAGTCTAACCAATTGTAGATGTTATTATACAAAGGCAACACTTTCTTCTCAGTTATTTAAAGACCCTGAGTGTTGGTCTGGCCGGGGTTCGAACCTGCGACCTTCTGCTCAGCAGACCAGCACTCTCTCAACTGTGCTGACCAGGTGGTGGTTGAGTCATTAATGTTAAACTATCACTTTCTGCTAAACAACTATCATACCAACCTTTTGGTCTATATTTGCACTGTGTACATAGAACATGCCATCTAGATTGACATGCCAGTTTAAAAGTCCAAGAAAAAGGTGACAAAAGGCAAAAATCTTGCAACATGACTAGCTGTTGGCTATCAAATATTCTTGTAAACATCTAGTTTTAGTACAATAAAAATAAATCTACAAACCTATCAAAACAAACCTGGCATTTATGGCTGCCCTGATCGTACATGGGCATCTCGTTTAAATGTGTTATTAACAACAAATAAATGTATTATGCCCTCCTTCCTACAAGAGACATATAGAGATTTAGCATCAGCAATTATATCTAAATAAAAATAAAATTAACATTAAATCGAATTAGGATATTTTACATCCCATTTTTATCGGTGCCTTTTCCTATTCCTGTTCCTATTTCATTTCCGGTTCTGGTTCCTATTCCCATTCCTATTCCCAATTCCGGTTTCCTGCTTTTCCAGACGCCCTCCACAAGAAGAATGGAACAACTGTGGCAGCCCTTTTGCAAACCCTTTTGAATTCAATGGGGATAGGGGCTCACTTGACTTGGTTTGATTGTTGTTGCTTATCAGGCTGATCAAGAGAGTATTGTTCCAGTCAGGAGTCAAATTCACAGGCCCTAAGCCTACAAGACTAAAGCAAGCAATATGTCCAAAGAGGAAAATTTATTGCAAAACAAATTAGTTAAAAAATGTCCAGATTCTTTGGGCCTTCTTTCTAGAAAAGTCCCCCCCCCCCAGATTAAACCTGGCCAATTCCTCGAACAAAGCTGTGCTGTAAGGAGCATTGAAAGGAGCCCAGTTCTCTGAACCTGTAAAATCTAGGCTGCCCAGCTTATGATTTGTATGAAAAATCTTAGATTTTCTAGTCACCCAAGAGAAAGTTAGGTGCCTGGGGCCACCGGGTTCTGCTAGAGCACAGCCTTGCGTAGAATAACCTTGCATACACGTATGAGATTATTATTATAAATCATTAACTTTAATATTGTTTCCATTTTGGTGTGCCACACTCGTTTATGTATTTGTAACACCTGAGGGCTTAAAATTAACTTTCAGATGATCATGAACCAGATGGGCCACTTCATCCAAACTTCAACTGGCCAATTAAGACAAATGTTTAGTGGTTAGATGCAAGAAGTGTTCAATTTGAATGACAATAAGACACGTTTTTGTTTTTGAAGAAAAAAACACAGTTTAATAAAGAGTTCTATTTTATCCAAAACACTGTCAACTGTTATCTTAGACTAGACACTAGATTTTATGACAAACTCTGGTCTTCTCAGTCTCTCCCCTGAGGTCAGCCATTGTACTACCGCTCTGGCTGCATCGTACTCCTCAAACCTGCAACCATTCATTGAAATGCACATCAAAGGGTGGATTTCCACTGACATGTAATTTTTATGTGTGCATACCTGCAAAAATAAAATAGAGGCGATGCATGAAAGGCCACCCGTAAGTGTGAAAGTTGAGTGAGGCTCAACTTTTATGCTACGTGTGACCTTGCAATTACTTTACGCGTGTATAAATTAACATATAAGAATTATGCATCAGTGGAAATCCACCCTAAGGGAGCAGCTGGTCCTTCTCATCTCCATCTAGCTTGTCTTTCTCAACTTCTTGCTGGCCCACACTGACAGCTTGTTCTAAATTTTCTGGATCATTTTGAGTCTGCGGAGAAGAATTTGAAACACGCTTTTGTGCCATTTCCAAGCAAAACAAATGTTTGCCATGGCCACTTTCTTGCCATGATTATTAAGTCACATGCACGATTTGGTTGATATGGACTGGGCACAACAGGATCCAGTTCTTACCTAAAATACTCAGCCAAGATGGCAACAATTTATTTATGGCAAGCATGTGTGCAGCAAAAATCTTTATTTTGACTTACATGTATATTTTCTACATAATATTTGAATTTTCACGTGAAAAACTGTTTAAAAAATTGTACTCAGAAACAAACCAATTTTGTACATGCAGGTCAAATTTGTTAAAATGTTGCTGGCCAAATAGTCAGGTTTTTTAAATTCTTACTTGCCAACAAGCTATTTCTGTTGACCAATGACCAGTTGACCACTATTAGTGTTGAACCATATTATACAGTCACATTACTGAAACTTTGAGCTTTGAAATGAGAAAAGTTGTGGGCATTTGTATGATAGTTTTGCAAAAAAAATATAGTTTAATAAATTTGAAGTCTTTTTTTATTAGGTTTGTGACTGACATCTGTGTAATATTTTCACAATACGGTTAAATAGAATTCACTGAAATAGTTTTTTTTTTTTTTTTCAGGTTTATAAAATGGTCTGCAGTTTAGTCCAATTCCCATTCCAGGGAATCATCTTGTTGTCCTAGCAGTGGAGCAGTGTTTTGTGGGATCTTTACTCCACTTTGGCTTCAGAATCTGTTCATCCACAAGAACAGCATCACAAATTGCTCACAACTCTCCTCTTTATCTCAATAACATTGTAAAAAAAACATTTGGTTCAAAGAACAAAACGTGTCCCTCTGGGGGGTTACCCAATCTTCCTGCCTGTCAAATATTTTCCTGCCACTCTGCTGATCATCAAGCCCCCACAATGCTGCAGATATTGAATGAAAATTTACTAGAGTTACATAGAAGCACTCCACAGTCATTTCTTCTGAAAAGCTCTCAGAGTCAGCACTTATCACTTGTTGATTGTTCTCAGACGAAAGCCAGTTGCAAAGCAAGTTTTGGTAAAAGTAACACATCTCTTCAAGGGAGAGGTCGGGCATCTCCCATTTACTGTACTCCACAAGAGTTCTGTGCTATGATCACTCCTCTTGTCCTAACTGGAATCTCACAGCCTTCCTCTGGCAGCAATTCCACAACAAATAGGTCACCAGGATCAAATAAGTTGGATCATTACTTTCTAGGTCTTAAAGGTTAGTTCTTGGAACTAATGTTTTGCCTCAGAAATAAAAAAGTTATTTTAAAATTTGCAGTCTGAACAAAAGTATATTACTCACGTAATGTCAACAACTGCAGCAAAAATGGAATGCCGCTTACCGTTCGACATTTTTACTGAAAGAATCGTGGGACTATAAAGCCCTACTTATAAAAAACCAATAGGTCACTGGTGCTACAATATTGCTTATTTTAGGATGCAAATTTTTTTGGTCTCATACTCAGTAACTAAAATAAGTCCATCGGGTGTTGTAGTTATTCCTATGTTGGCTTGTAATTTATCAACAGTTTTTCCAGTGAAGCAACCCTCCACTGTAAACTGATCAACACGATCATTGCCAATATTACATACAAGAAGATTATGGTGATCGCCACATTTCTGGACACACAATCCCAATGGACAATTCAACTGTCCATCGCCCTGGCCTTGTTCTCCTATCTTGTACAGAAACGTTCCAGTATTATCAAACACTTTCAAGCAACCATTATCCCATGCAGAAACAATGAACTTGTTCTCATGGTAAATACAGGCAGTGGGTTTATCAACTTTTCCTGGTCGACTGTTTCCAAATTGAAACAAAGGTTCTCCTTCCTGTGTTAAAACTTGTATTCTGTTGTTAATATAATCGGCTACAATAACACGACCTTCTTCATCCAAACAAACACTGAAAGGATTTTGAAACTCACCAACCCTTGTTCCTCTCTTGCCAAAGCTTTTTACAGAGTTTCCTGTTTGAATGTTAAATTGTTGAATGCGATGATTACATTGATCCGCCACAAGGATGTTATCATCATTTAGATATGTGACGTCAGCTGGACAATTGAGCTGTCCAACATTGTTTCCATAACAACCCACTTTTCTTACACAGTTTCCTTTCTTGTCAGTTATCAGAATACGGTGATTTTCTTGGTCAGCAACAGCGATTTGTCCTTTGCTGTTTACAGCAATTCCAGATGGCTTTTTAAGAGTTTCTCCTTTTATTTCTACCTCTCCCACCATTTGAATTAGTCGCTGTTTTACTTGGACAATATAAGGACTTCCTGCAATCTCCTTACCATTTACCTTTATTATGATATTGAAAGTTCCTGGAACTTTAGGTGTAAACTTCACGGTGTAATCTCCATCCTGTTTTTCGTAAGTTATCAAACTTCCTCTTTTTTCAGGGGGTTCCACAAGCACTTTTACCTCATACACTTCTTCTCCAAGTATTTGTGGGTGAACTTCAAACTCCGATTCAACACCAGCTTGGAAATCTTTTGTCAATCCCACTACTGGTTCATTTGTTGCAGCTATGTAACCAAGGGTTAGATTCTTTTCTTTTTTGCTGGGATAAAACTTCAGAAATGAATTGACCGGAAGTTCCGGGATCGGATTGTTTTCAAGATGAGTAAATCGTTGTTCTAGATAATTCTTGCTTTGCATTACATCTGAGCTGGAGCTTCTTTGAATCAGATTTTCAGCAAACTCGATTGCTTGGTTGATTTGCTTCAGCAAGGATTGCACTTGTGCCTTTGCAGAGTCTAACTTATCTGCTCTTGACGCGCGGGTGTTCTCGAGGGCGGTAATAATTCGCCGCTCGTCTTCTCGAATCTTGGCGATCATTTGTTCGGCAGCTTTGGAAACTTCACGTTTAGCGTTAGTGAGATTTGTCTCCAGTTCAAGTACTGTTTGTTCATATTCACGAATCGTATCGCCAAAAAACTTTATTTTTGTTTTCAATACCTCGGTTCTTGTCAGGATTTTGGCTTTCTCGTCGTCGGCTGCTTTCTCTAATGGTTCCACGTCATGTGCCTTATGATCCGTAGCAATGCATATTTGGCAAACACAGATTTGGCATTTAAGGCAGAAAAACCTCGTTACTTCTCGCTCGTGATACTGCTGCGAACAAAATGACTGCCTCCTCATTAGCGCTTCATAGTCTTGAGATTGGAACTGTTTGACTGGCGTCACCTTGTGTCCTTCTGTGAGGTTTGTAAACAGTTGATGTGCGTTTACACAGTCACTGCACATGGATTTAGCGCATTCGAAGCAGTAACTTATCTCTGCGCTCTTTTTCTTGCAAACACCACAACTGATATCATTTCCTTTTCCGCTTTGTCGTATGGCGAGAACACTGAGCAGACTATTATGATGAAAACTGGTCGGTAATTTGTCAAAACGGTTTGCTTCGGGAAGATCAATTTCAGCTTGACACTCGGGGCAGCGAAACTTTCCATTCCTTTGGCTGATCAGAGCATGTTTTTTCAAACACTCACAGCAGAATGTATGCAGGCAGGTTATTGTCTTGGGATCGGTGAAAGTATCCAGACAGATTGAGCAAGTAACATGTTCTTTAAGATTCTTTAACAAAGACTCCATCGTTCGAGTTTCCTTTTACAGCGACAGAAACACACCCTATTCTTGTTCAGAGTGATTCCGGGAAACTTGGACCATATAAAGCATTACTAGTATTACAAAAACAATTTGCATTTCACTTCAGACAGCTAGGCAGCCAACCAAATTTAAGTCTTTCCACCCTCTGACCTTAGTCTAAAAGCGGAAGTTTCAAAGAAGCTTTAAAGGTCGTTAAGCGTGACTTGTCTGAAATTATTTTGACAAAAATAAAGAAACTGCGCACAGATACGGGCACATTTGCATTACACAGGAAATATTCTTTCACTTTGGATTTGGAGTGGTTCTGTTCAAGTCCAAAAGTCTATTTTCGGATTAGTATTATTCTCTATCTCATTTTGATATTTTAGGTAGCCAACCAAGCTTACCTCCTGATTGCGGAGCAGAGGTTGACACAATTTCCAGTCATTCTTTTGATTTTTTGTTTTCTGAATGAAAGATAGTGTGAGGATAACGGCAAGTTTTTGTATCAAACGGAAAACTCTTGGATTTTGGATCCGCATCGTTTAAAAGAATAACTGTTTATTTTTTTTTCGTGATGCAGTCTGACAGGGTCACAAATTCTTCATCAGAACTTTAACTTTTGAGTTCAAACTTAATCGCTGCCTGTATGGTCCTGTCAGTCAGTTGTGAATTGACGATGTAATTTAATACATCGGTAGTGTATTCTTTTTTTAAATTAATAAACGCAAGCTCTCTTATTAAGCGGTCTCTTATGTGCTAGTGTACGCTGCTCCATTTTGTTGGGATTGTCATCAATTCGACAAAAGTTGAAGAAAGGGTCACGTGCTCTGATTTTGTTTTTCCGTGCTTAAATTTTTTGTGACTCAGGTACCTTCGCTCAAGAAGTAATACCAGTATTAAGAAGGAAGAATAGAACCTCGCCACTCACAACTTTGAATTTGATTTTATCACACATTTGCTTTCTAATCAGGCAAAATCGATCCTTGTTATAAGTACTTGAGTGTCGATAAAAATCCAATGTTAGTATATTAATCCGGTTTGGTTGCAGCATAATTTGGTCAAATGTGTTTTCTTTTTTCTATTTTAGATCAAAGTGATCAAGTTTTATCTCTGGAAGACGACACCGGCAGTAATAACTCAAACTCGCCTCGCTTTACACAGCTCACTTCTCAAACAACGGGACTGAATTCTGAGAAATTTGATATCTACAAAGAAGAGCAACCTTCTTGTAAATGGACAGAGTACGATGACTTTCCTTCGTCAGAGGATCTCAGTGCATTTCTAGCTGATTTGGAACTGCATGCTCTAAATAAGACAAAAGAACAATCTCAGCCAATCATCAATTCCAAAAAATCATGCGTGACGTCAGAATAGAAGACGCCCGATGAGATGGTTACGCCACAGACTGTTAGTTTCAGTGATATAGTTTATGGATTTGTTCAAGAGGATTGCACAGAATTTACTGATTTCCCTTCTTTTGAAAATCTAGACGCCTTCTGAGCTGATACGGAACTCGATTGTGGAAATATACTGCAGGAAACACCTTCGGCCCTTGCTGATGCTATGAGGTCCACAGACGTTGATAACGTTTTAGACTTAACTATCGGTGACTGCTTTTTCACGCAAAAAGATTCTGTAAGACAAAAATGGGTCCGTAAAAGCGATTCAAACGTGAATCAAACACCGGTACTTGACATTGAATTATCAGATTCTCAATTTCTTAGCAACTGCAACACCGTTTTCACTGTCTGAAAGTCTATTCGTGAAAAAGACATGACAAGAAAAAACCAATGGAGCCAATTTTTTGTTGGTTTACTCAGCAGTTTCACGAAGAACAATCAACGGAAACCTACTCATTGTGGAGAAGAAATAATAAAGCAAGGGAAGGCTGTGTGCCGCTTAGAATCAATAAACTTGAAGAGGAAGTGGTTAATTGCACCACGTCCCTGGAGCGCGAAGAGCTAAACAAATGGTCACATGATCAGGATAAGAATGAAGCGGAGATCCAACAAACCGCAAGCCAAAAAGCTGCTTCTTGTCAAGGAAACAGTTATTCGTTGGCAGATGACATGTTAAATTATTCTTTTGAGATGATGCATACGTCCCCTGACTTGTTTTTTACAATCAATGTCTCGAGCGAAGGGTGTTTGTCCTGACACACCATGTTTATATTTTTCTCCAAGACTCTTGAACGGTGAATCCCTTTCAAAACACTTTAGCGGAACACCTGACCTATTTTCTTCCCCAAATTGCTCTCCCAGCGTGCAGGAAATGAACTCGGTTTCGTTGTTTCTTGTTCTAATCATTCGCTTCTCTCTTCCTCATCGTCGTCGCTTCGCCTGGTTGAGCAGCCAGTCTCGTCTTCAGGTTCAAATAGAAACGAACCTGATGCGTCTTCAGTCATAAACCAGCGTGATTCTGAAAAAAGGTTTGTGCAGAATGATGAACAGGCTATTCTAAACGTTTACACAGAATGTGTTCGCCGGCCGGAGTTTCACCGTTGTTATCCGACTCTCGAGGACCTAGTCCATACAATGAGCCGGAAATTAGTGCATTAGGAACACCAGTTCTTTTCTCTCAAATGTCAACCAGCT